CAATATTCTCTGTGACTGCATCCATGAACCTTCTCTGGAGTCTTTTTCTCCTCAGTAGCAGCTCTGTGCTCAACTTGCTTTAGTTAATCTGCTATCACTCCAGAGCACATGTCCAAGGAAATAGTCTTAAATTTATCTCAAAGTTCAGTTTAACTTTTAACCAATAAAACTGCTGTCAACAATAACTGATCAAACTGCATTTCTAACATTCTGACATCTTGCAGCTGGACTGGAATTAGAGCAGCGAACCGTCTTCATAACTTTAATTTTACTCATAACTCCAGTTTTCTGATATTTTGAGTTAATTAACTATGGGGATACAAACTCAGCCACTGAATCACAATCACTAAAAGACACATTACCAAGGAGCCGCCATTCTCATCCACTATGGACTTGATGCAGTAGCACTTCTCGTTCAAATGAAGTGATTCATGGTTGTCTGAGGGCGCACAAGTATGAGGTCATATGTAAAAGACATTCAAAAATTCTAGACTTGAAATATAATTATTATGTAAAATCTTAAAATAAAATGTATAAAAGGGGCTGATTTAGAATCAGCTGTGATCTGATCGGTACAGTCAATCCTGTCCATAAACCTCAACCTAGTAGATGACAGGAAAATGGCACAGAGTTCATTAGTGTGAGTATCCTTTACAGTAATGTGTCTGAAATATTCATCAAGTTGCAGCCACTGAAATGTTCCACCCTTTTGCAGTGAGTCCCTGAGGTATAAGTGGTCAAATGTTCTAATGTGTACTGCACATGTGACGTCAAAAGCTTAGTTTGACATGTCAGAGCAGAAACTGTTTGCATTTTTATAGAAAACTCACACGTCCTAAGGTCCTCCTTCTCCAATATATTATACACAACACAACTCAGAAATAAAAAAATAAACACTTCTGATCCTTCCCCTTACCCGCTGTACCTGGAGGACCCTCTTCTGTCTGATCTGGTGCTGACAAACTAAGCTGAGGAGGTGATGGGAGATGACAGAGAGTGACCTGCTCATACATCGCCTTAGGCAGCACAGATGCCAGTACATTAATGCCACATTTATATGTGCACAAAAGGAGGCTGAAACTAATTAAAAAAACTGATTATTACAAAGTACTCACTACTTTTTCTTTTCTAAAGTTTTAAGAGCAGCAGAGAAAACATGAGCTGGAACAGAAATAGCAGCATGTCATCCATGTGTAAATTACCTTTTTTCAGGAAAATCAAAATATTTTAAGTGTATTTGTTCAAAACTTTAATTCACTCATTTCTTTTAAAAAAATCAAGTCTCAAAAAGACTTTCAGCAGGTGACTGTTGTCACTGACTTTTATTGTCTGAATGAAGTGTGCAGCTGTGAGGAACATGCAAGCCTCCAAAACTCTAATTTAGAATAAATAATAAAACTGGAGGTTTCTTCAAGAATAATAAATACAGGACCAAAAATGTTTAGCCCATTTTGATCAAAACTGATTTGCTGTTTTAACCTTTTCTTGTAATTGTTTGGGATGTGACTGTAGAAGCCTCCTAAGTGTGTGTGTGTGTGTGTGTGTGTGTGTGTGTGTGTGTGTGTGTGTGTGTGTGTGTGTGTGTGTGTGTGTGTGTGTGTGTGTGTGTGTGTGTGTGTGTGTGTGTGTGTGTGTGTGTGTGTGTCTGTGTTCAGTCCTGAACTTGATTTTTGAATTCATTTACTACATTTAGGTTTAACAAAATGGCTGAAATTATTTCTCCAATAACTGCTTTACAAAAATTATCAGCATGTCTTTTGATTTGAAGCTTTTATAAATCTATAAAATCACTTCCTGCTTATTTATCCCTTATTTTATATATATATATATATATATATATATATATATATATATATATATATATATATATATATATATACTTTTTTACAGAGAATTGTTTTTTGTTGAATGTGTTTATGCCTCACCACAACTATAGACTGTAAGATGGACAAAGACAAAAAAATGTTGGCACTACACGGGGTAAAAAGTTAAATACAATACGCTGCAGTGTCTGCATATTTAAGCCAGTGGAACCAACTCAAGTTAATTCCCTGTTTTGTATAAAGCCTTGTTACTATAAGCAAGTGCAGAGTTTCACTTATAAACTCAAGTAAAACAGAATTACTGAAGAATAACTGATTCTTCAGTAGGCTCATAGAAAATTATGTAGAAAATGGTCTGAATGCTTTTATGAGATTATGAAGAATTTGATTAATGATGAACAATGTTAGGCGTCTGAATCAGAAAAACATTATTCATGTTTTAAGTCTGAAAATAATGGAAAAATCCAACATAACCACTTAAAAATAGTTTCTGCTATCTAAAAAATCTTAGAGATTATATAATAAACCATAACTAGAAAAAGAAATGACTAAAACTTTCACATTTGTCTAAAAACCTCTGCCAATAACACGACTCGGCCCGAAACCGACTGGACCATCCGGTTGTCAGCTTCACCAAACCACTGCACTTCCACATTTACTGTGCTCAGCATAAATGAGTACACCCTCTTGGAACGGTATGACATTTTTCAGTAGCTCAAGGAACAAGGCTGGGTCTTATTGAACACCTGTTTAAATCCATAACCTGATATTAAGCTTAATAATACAACTCCATCCATTTTACCCAAGGTTAGGTCGCGGACTCGCGGAGGCAGTAGCCTAAGCAGAGAGGCCCAGACTTCCTTCTCCTCAGCCACTTGGTCCAGTTCCTCCCAAGGGAATCCCAAGGCGTTCCCTGACCAGCTGAGAGAAATAGTTCCTCGTGTCCTGGGTCTTTTTTTAGGTCTCCACCGGGTTGGACGTGCCCGGCAAACCTCACCAAAGAGGTGTCCAGGAGGCATCCCAACCAGATGCCTGAGCCACCTCAATGGGCTCCTCTCAATGTAAATTCCGTATGTACAGTCTATGGTAAATTCATATAAATTTGATGAAAAAAATTCCTGTTTTACTAAAAAATTTTGAAGCAAAGAAAAATACACCCCACAACAAAAATACTACATCTAGTATTTTGTATGACCATTGTGATTCTTAAGGACAGCACCAAGTCTTCTAGGCATGGAATGAACAAGATGGCCACATGTCGCAACATCTATCTTTTTCCATTGTTCAAGAAGAACCTCTTTGAGAGCCTGATGCTGGATGGAGAGTGATGCTCAACTTGCTGCTTCAGAATTCCCCACAGGTGTTGGATTGGGTTCAGATCAGGAGACATACTTGTCCGTTCAATCACCTTCACCCTGTTCTTCTTCAGAAATGCAACAGTAGCTTTAGATGTGTTTTGGATCATTGTTGTGTTGGAAAAGTGTACGACGACCAAGTGCGCAGAGTGATGGCAGCATCTTCTCCTTCAGTATAGAGCAGTACGTTGTTGAGTTCATAATACCATCAATGAGATGCAGCTTCCCAACACCAACAGCACTTATGCAACACATGCAGCCCCACATAAGGACACCGCCACCACTGTGTTTCACTGTAGGCACCATGCATTTCTCTTTGAAATCCTCACCTTTATGACACCATACAGTTTTGAAACCATCCATTCCAAAAACAGTGATCTTTGTCTCATCACTCCAGAGTCTAGAGTCCCAGTAGTCTTCATCTCTTCCGGCATGGGCTTTAGGAGAGGCTTCCTTCGTGGACAATACCCATACATGCCATTCCTCTGCAGTGTGCGCTGTAGGGTGTTACAGGAAACGATCACTCCTGTTTGGCTTTCTACGGCTTTAGCTAACTGCAGCAAACTTGCATGGGGATTTCTTTCAACCCTTCTCATCAGAAGACACTCCTGCCATGGCCTAAACATGTCTGTAAGATGGTTGCACTTCCATCTTTCTTAAGTTGTTGGATCACCTTTGCTACAGTATTTTGACTGTTTGAAGCTTTGCTGATCTTTTAGTTGCCCTCACCTTTTTTGTGTAAAGAAATTATTTCTTTCTCAAATTTTGTGACATTTCACTTGCATGTGGAGCCGTTGCTGACAGCATGAAAAATGGCTTTTCTTAGTGAAGTAATGCCCTTTTATAGTCACCTGTCTACTGGACACCTCTTACATGAATCATTAGACTCACCTGTGGTTGAATGCCTGTTAATTAGAATTTTGTAGTCCTAAGGGTGGCTTTTTTGGTGTGTGCGCCTGTGCCGTTTTTGCAACATTGGTTTGAATGGATTTGTAAGGAAAATCACTTTTTTGTGTGTGAAAATTAACAAATCTTGTTTTAAATCAATGGCCCACATTTGTGGGAGTATTTTGTAGTATGGTATCTCATAGAAAATATTGATTCTGAATGAAAAATAAAGGTTTTCTGACAAATGCGGTGGGTGTACTCATTCAGGCAGAGCACTGAACGTGTATCCTCCACTGGTCTGAGAGGTTCTCCGCTCAGTAAAATCAGAGAAGGAGAAACAGCCGGCTGCTACTTTGGGACAAACTACCAGAGTTCATAAAAGAAAAACACCATATGAAGTTATGAACAACAAAATATTTTTGGGCCTAGAAAATGGTGACATCTTGTTTCTTCTGGCAATGTGGGTTCTGGTAGTGGATGTGGCCTGGGGATGATAGTCAATAGGAGGGTGAGAGTTCCTAGCTTGTTTGCAGATTAGCTGTAGCAGCTTTAAGACCTCTTTTATGGGTTAGAAATGCCGGGAGATGGAATGATTTCACTTTATTTAGTTAAAATTTTTTTATGACAAAGTAATTATTTAATTTTGTGAGCGATGAAACAGCAACGTGTTGCATACATTTTTAATAATTTTGTGACTATCATATTTTCACTGGCTAATCTTTTTAGCACATGGGGTATTGGTAATCATGTAACTGCTAGAGTAAATTTGTTCAAAGACCAGAAATAAAATAAATGTAAAGGCTGTTGAGCTAAATTGGGACTAATTGGAACATAATTCGATTGACATTTCAACAATGTAAATAAAGATAAAGTAAGAATAAATTAGTTTATTATTTTAGCTTATAATTTGTATGTACATGTATGTACCCCTTACCTGCCATGCTACGGCCTCCATGTGATCTGCTGTTCTGGACAGGCACACACTCAACACGATTGTGTGGGAAGCGGAGGTCAAAACGCTGGCGATGAGGGCTTCCCGCATAGAGAATGGCAGCATGGTGTAAGCCACAAACACAATAAACAGGAAGAAAGACACCTGCAGAGAAAGAAACACCTTATTAGCAGCAGCAATGGCAGAAACAAGTATTAGGAGTAAATCAGTTCAAGAGCAAATATTAAAGGCAGGGATGTGAAATGTTAGGTGAAACATCAAATAATTCAATTAAAATAAACATATTTATACAAGTGAATATTTCCTTTTCTGTGGGAAGTAAAAACAATTAAATTCAGCTTCTAAATTTCAAATCTGACTCTTCTAACACAACACGAGTGCTTCCATTTTATCCCATCTTCACGGTCCCTCCTGCCGCAACGTTAAAGTCGCTCATCTGCAGCCATGAATGACCAGAAAGAGGCCAGTGTTCTTGTAGGCTCCAGCCAGCTGCCAGTTAACCTTTCATGGTTTCTTTTTTTAAGGCAAATGGGAAAGCTGGGACAGAGAGAGGCAGTGAGGTGGAGAGCAGGAAGAGATGGAAGTGCTGGAGGGAAAGTGACTGAAACAGTTATCCTCTGTTTACGCTGAGGTGGTGAGTACTCTAGGCTCATTTAGCAAAAAATGGCTGGAAATGCAAATTTTAGCTAGCGCTGAAGATAGTTTGATTCCGTACATAATTAATTAGACAAATGACAACTTTGTAGCTAGTGTGCTGAACACAATTAAAAACCAAAGACATCATGTGGCTGGATTAGTATTTGTTTGTATATTTTGTAAAATGATTAAAAATGTTTTAATAGATCAGACAAAAATAAAATACCAAAAATGAGAAACTGGCCCATAGAAGGGTAGAAAAGGTTGATGTTGATACGTTTCCAAATCTTCACTGAAGATAGGTATTTTTCTTTCATTGTAAAATCAGCCTCAACACAGCATAAAGTTACTTTAGTTATTTTTATAAAGGATGATACATTAGCATGTTGTTCCTTTTATATACACAGATGATTGTAGGCTATTCTGACCAAAGGACAAGCTTGCTTTGCTTTTATCCATGACTAATATACCAAGAGCATTTTATATTTTATATTCTGACATTTCATATATCTCCCTTTGAATAACATATATCATTAAATAATTTAATTTCTTCCTCAAAATAAACTTAATTGCCAATTTCTTGAAATTGTGTTTAGAGGAATCAGAAATAAAAACAGAACTTTCTAGTTTTTGTTGAATATGATTACAAAGCGATATGCTTCAAATGTGTTTAAAGGTGTCCAACACTCGATTAATTAACTTGGAGGAGCTTCTGCTATGTGGTTGAGTTGCTAATGCTAAAGGCTAGCTTCTGCTAGTCAAGGCGTTCACTGCTGATTCTGGATGCTAAACCGTCCATATTTAGAAGAATAAGAATAAGAAGAATAACAAGAACAAGAACAAGATCTTCTGACAAATGTCTATTCTCTGAAACAGGAATGTGCTTTTTTGACTTATTATTGTAACATCCAGCAATGGTCAGTTTTAAGTACAGTTTGACCATTCAACATCTATTCAACATCTGGTCAAACAGGAGACACAGGACTGCTTGTGTTCCCTTTAAATAAGCCTGCCTTCATACCAGCTGGAGCTCACAGACTCTGCAGCTCTGACAATGGATAACGACATATCAACAATAACTTTCTTCCCCAAGGCCTCCACACAAGGAACACTCCAGTTCGGATCAGTTGCTAAATTCAAGAATGATTTCCTAAATAAATATGAATTTCTTCCATGACTTATAATATGGATAATCATTAAATAAATGTTTGTTTATTGCTACTTATAACAATTACATTATAATGAAATGCTTCATTAGTCTGTGTTCAATGACTGAAGTTTGAAATGAATGTTATGTCTACAATGACTGCAATGTGGTTCTGCATGTTTATGTGGCGAGGTCAAAACATCTGCACTCACACCATAACAAGTAAGGTTACGTTAAACTCTGACACATAAAAAGTCGTTTACCCAGTCAGAACATCCAGTCAAAGAAGCCGTGTTTCTGAGTTGTCTTGTTAACATCTCTCAAGCCTGTCAGCCTCTGATTGGCTGTGCAAATCATAACATCAAAACCTTAAAACTGGGTCACCCTGGGTGATTCAGCAGTTCTAGAGAAAGTTTCAGACCGGCCATCTGAGGCACACCTCTTTAACCATCAAAGATTTTGACACATCGTCAAAACCTTTGTGCACCTGCAAAGCTGATGAACAAAAGTCCCTGCAGAACAAAGCTGATATTGTTCAAATCCCTAAGAGTTATTCCTGAGACGCAAGCTAGTTCAACCTGTGTGCCTGGTGACATCGAAGGACTGGGGAAGTCGGTACTTGTGGTCATTCTACTGGACCTGGGTGACCCGAGGTCATCTGACCTCTCTGACCTCCGGATCCGTGACGAGGGTCTCCAAAAGGGTGAGGGAGAACACCGTGAAGATTGCGTCTGATGTGCTTCTGATGATAACAACTTCATAGCTTAGCCCAAACCAAATTCTTTTACATCCAGACTCAGCTCTTCTAGATAAGGAGGTTCTGACTAACACTGCTTTCACACATAGATTTTATACATCACATTTAGTTCCATCCACTCACAATAAATGCTTAGTTAAATAGTCACATTTTAATTGTTTATAAAATAAATTCTTACTTTTATAAACCTGACTCTTTTCTGAATCAAAACAAAGTGTGTACAATTACTTCATAAAGCAAAAATCCTAGAATCTTCTGATAAATACAATAAAGACCAAGCAGGGTGGATATTCTATATTTAAATAGAGTATCACAGCTTATTGGTCATAAGTAGAGGTAATATATATCTTGAGCTCTTAAAGCACTCAATTTGCCAACGCTACATTATAAAAAAAATGAGTGAATGAGACCTTTTACATTAGAAGGGAGAAAATTCCTCATTATTTATTATGAAATATACACAACAAAAACAAAAAACTGTTTGAGATGTCAGGTAAAGACAGCTGATACAAGTCAAAACATGTTTTAATGTTAGTCAGAATAGTTTATTATCTAATAAAAGAACTTAAAATTTAGTATATGTGAGCACACGCCCATTCAGATTTTTAGCGCAGGTGCCCAGAAAATAGTTTCATTCACTGAGCCGGAAGCAAAGGGGGTCTCTATTTGTCTAAATCCAAATGCTTATTGCTGCAGACCATCACCTAGCTCTGGAAAATAATTAGCTTAGAGCCCCCAAAGCCTTTTTATAAATTAATGCTCTGATATCCGATGCTGCTAACTCAATCATGAAAGTGAACCAAGCATCATTTAGATGCTGCAGGGCAAAATATCCCTACTGGGTTTCACATACTTGTTACGTAATACAGTAGTAAAACAGTAAAGGACATCGTTCAGGGTGGCTCCGAGACCCTGAGCCCGTAAGGATGCTCTCCACTGGCAATTAAGTGAACAAGCCTTTCTTGAGGTCCATCTAGGTAAAGTCAACTTTGCTCACGCCCATGAATCCTGTCCCTGATAATGACACTGAGGAGGGTTCATAAAACTAATTATGAAGACAGAGTGTCACATTACATCAGGCTTTTAGTCCACTGTCTGTGGCTGTGATTAGTTTACGAGTTACATTTATAATGTGGATTGTGTGTGTGTGCGTGCGTGCGTGCGTGTGTGAGCTTCATACTTAAAGCCAAAGTAGACAGATGCTCATTTCATTTCCAGCCACTCTCAAGAAGCCAGGATGATGAAAAAAAATTATTGATTTATAGTGAACACGTGTCATCAAATTGAATGGAAGTATTACAACCTGCCAAACTGCTTGGTTTGTAATTACCACAGTCAGTTTGAACATGTTGTCCACTAAAACAAATAAACAAAATAAACAATACATTCTATCTTGTTTTTATATCATTGGCTTACTATCAGTGACCCCTGTTCTGCTGCATCTACTCAGTTCTTCACTGTTCAACTCTGACAGGGTCTTTCCTCGACCAAAACTTCCTTCACCTAATGAGATTGGCTCAATATCAAGTGTGTGTGTGTGTGCTCGCGTGTGTATCTGTGTGTTGTGTGTGTGTGTGTGTGTGTGTGTGTGTGTGTGTGTGTGTGTGTGTGTGTGTGTGTGCATGTGTGTGTGTGTGCGTGCGTGTATCTGTATGTGTGCGTGTGCACGTGCGTGCGTGTGTGTGTGTGTGTGTGTGTGCACGTGCGTGCGTGCGTGTGTGTGTGTGTGCATCTAGCACACGTATCTGGGTAGCAGAAAAAAACGAAGCGAGGTGGCAGGGACTAGATGTGTCCCAGCTAGGGGAGGAGGCTGAACCACACAGATAAGCTCTTCTACTCACCAAAACGGCTTTGTGGGGCCAGGATAAGGATCCAATTAATTTCAGGTTTTAAAATGGGAACGGGACCGCAGAGACTAACTTTAGGAGAGAAAAGATGGAGAGAAAAACACAGCTGGAAAATAACTGGATGGATCAGCTCATCTTCTAAACACAATTTTTTTAATCTAACTCCTCTATTTCACACTCTTTGATTTTCTGTCTCCAAAGTTATTTTAGACAATCTGGCTGTACATCCAATTGGCCTCACAGCCACAGATCATGTGTAGCCACGCCAGCCCAGGACCTCCACATCCAGCATCTTTATCTCTGAGTTTGTCTAAGACGAGCCTATAGGACAGCTGCTGCAACAAATGGTTTGCATGCACAAAGAACCTGCAAAGTCTGTCATCTCAGACCATCTCAGGGTCTCGACATGACTACCGTTTGTTGTTGTATCTAACTGAGAAAATGCTCTAATTTGAAGGCATCTGGCACCTTGGAGAGGAGTTGTGTTAATGTATGACAGAAAAGATGTGTGACGTCATGTGGGTGAGTTATTTATTGATGTGATTGTCACATCACTAGCTCTGGTGCATTCTGTGGAAGAAATTACAACGTCAATTGATCAGAATAAACATGTTCTAGGGATATTTATTGATTTAAAAAAGGCTTTTGATACGGTTAATCATAAAATGTTACTTGAAAAGGTAGAGAGGTATGGGATTAGGGGTGTAGTGTTGAGCTGGTTGACAAGCTATCTACAACAGAGGAGACAGTTTGTGAAGTTTGAAGAATGTTCATCTTAATGGTTGGACATTGTTTGTGGAGTACCACGGGGTCTGTGTTGGGGCCAAAATTATTGTTATTATATATTAATGATTTGAGTAATATAACAAATACACTGACATTTGTTTTGTTTGCCGATGATACCACTATTGTCTGTGCAGGAAATAATATTAGCGACTTAGAAAGGATGGTCCAAATTGAAATGTGCATCATTAAAGAGTGGTTTATTGAAAATAAGCTTACATTAAATATAGCAAAAACAAAATGTATGCTGTTATGTATGGCTAATAAAACTGAGGTTAAGCTGCAAATAGATGGATGTGAAATTGAGCAAGTAACAGAAAATAAGTTCCTTGGAATAATAATTGTAATTGATAATAAATTAAGTTGGAAACCACAAATTAAACATGTATATAATAAAGCTGTGAGAAGCATCTACATTATGAATAAAGCTCGGCAGTACTTGGATTATAAATCACTCCATGTCCTTTATTATTCATTGATTTATCCCAATCTTATTTACTGTGTAGAGGTATGGGGTAATACTTATAAAACATATATTGTACCCTTGTCTATCATACAGAAAAGAGCCCTGAGAGTCGTTCACAATGTTAGATTTAGAGAACACACTAATCCATTGTTTATATATTCAAAAATACTAAAATTTGAAGATTTACTTCAACTATATACAGCGACGTTCATGTTTAAAGTGCATAGGAAATTATTACCAAACAAATTATTAATGCTATTTATAAAACCAGATAACGTATATAATTTCAGATACAAACTTAACTTTAGGCATGCATGTTTTAGAACAACAGTAAAGTCATTTTGTTTTTCTGTTACAGGTGTAAAAGTTTGGAATAAGCTAAGTGGGGATCTAAAGCAAAGTCCCTCATTGCATAAGTTCAAAAATAAGTATAAAAAAAATAGACCAATTAATTACATGGAGGAGGAGGAAAAGTTGTAAGGGTGTTGCATTTGATTGTAATTGTCTGTTGTTGGTGAGCTGGGAGCTGGGAACATTGGAAGGGGGGAGGTGAAACATAAAAAAATGTAAATTTTGTTTGTGTGATTGAGGATGAAACATGTTATGAGAAAATGGCTATGACACTCAGTGTAGGGAATATATATATATTTTTTGTTTGTTTTATCTTTCTTGAAATTTGATTTGGGGGGATTATATGAGCTACCAAAGCTTCTTTCCCTTCCTATTGAACATGTTCCACATATATATATGCATATACATATGTATGGGTTTCTTTTTGAATACTTTTTGAATACTTTGATTTGTCTATTGATTTACATGTTCAATAAAGAAAGAAATAAAAAAAATGTCGTGGACAGAGTTGTGAACAACATTTGAGAGAAAGCTTATTACCAATGGGAACAAAGACAAAGTCTTACGTTTATAATTTTGTGGATTGTGTCATACCTTCAGCACCCAACAACCATGGAGCTACACCCATGCTCCCACTGTTGTCTTTAGTGTCACAAGAGAACAAAGTACATTTGTGTGTTAAAGCTGGCCCAGTTTATTTAGTACTGGAGAAATGAAAATCTATTAATTGTACTATGATGACTAATGTGTCTTAAGGGAGGCCTAAAAAGTAGTCTGGGTTATTGGAAAAGAGCATGTATGCATCATTCAAAGCTTTTTCATCAAAGACTGCACGAAGACATGTGACTCACTTTTTCACTAATACACAGGACAAGTTTTCCATTTTCAAAGCTGGAAAATTATAATAATGAATACTGTGTACTAAGACGGACCAACATGAAAAGGCTATAATGACTCGTTTCCTCTCAGCTAATGAAATGGCAACAACCTCTTAAAAAGCATAGACTACAGAGCTTGTAAAAAATTATGCCCATTAAGTTTGTGTTAATTAACATGGCTAAGATGCTGCAGTAAAGAGCAGGAGTGACATAATGGCCTAACATTTGCAGAAGTAATGAATGGTGAGGTGTGTGAATCAGTGCATCTTTGTGATCAATGAGTCTACAGCCCACATCCGTCTTGCTAAGTATTGCTGAAGGAGTGCAGCTTTCAAATGATAAAGACCTAATGTACAGTGGTGTTTTCACAGAGCCCTGGTGCAGGATGAATACTTTGGTGCAGGAAAGAAACTCTTGGTTAAACATCATCTTATGGCTGGGTTAAAATAACAACAGATGTTAGGTTACAAGAGTGTAGCGCACATACTGGAACAATTCTCATCAACATAACTGAACTACTGCATTTTATATTCATCATCATTTTTAGCTGCATTTAACTTTTTGATTTTGCACTGGGATTCAGTTTAACCTCCCCGGACTCTACATACCCTAAGGAGAACTGAACAGAATGGATGCAAGACTTTCACATGGCACTGGAATATTAGCAAGTGTATCAGTGGGTTGCTTGAAACATTTTATAAATGCAAGACCAACAATGATGCATTATTTAAATTGCACTAATTTACAGCTATTGTACATAACAGACTACCCGATGATTGTTCCTTTTGGCAGGCAGCTGTTATTAACTATTAAAAAGATAAATCAGTCAATTATAGAAACGAGAATAAATGTGTTCAAATTAATCTCAACATGCATATAAGGTAACAGCTTCATTAATGTCTGATGTCTTCTTACCTGGTCCCATGGACAGATGATTCCTCCAGAAAACATAAAAAGGTATCCCATTGCTACCAAGCAAGCCCAGATGACCAAAGAGAAAATACGCAACAGCTTCTTGAAAACAGACTCAATGCAGACCAGTACAAAGACTGCCAGGAATATCGCCAGTGTGGTGGGAATTGTGATGACGAAGGCCACGTGGTCTGCAACGTTCTGCGAAAGAATAAAGGCAGAAGATAAATGCATTGGAGAGAGGCCAGGAAGCTAGCTGTCACATAATTTAAGTTGGGAAAAGATCCTCATAGAAAATTAATGTTTGGAGAAACACAAAATCATTTGCTTCCTTAGTTCAAACCATTTTAGAGCAAAATGCTACTCTGATGGCACTTTTTCTCAAATGTGCTAAAACTGGAAAGTATCATGAGCTGTTTTATCATTGGGTGACTTAAAAAGGAAAAGGAGTGATGCGTGAAATAGGTAAACGCATATAACTTATTGCATGTGTGTTGACATTTTTATGCAATCTCAAAGTGCTATTCATCATACAAACAGCATTAAATGAAAATCCTGTATTGTGCATGATCTGAGAATGCAGTTCTTAAATCATTGATTTGAAAATGTTGGCTTTGATTTAAAGATTGAAAATTAGAATACAAAATCACTTTTTTGCACATTAATTTATACTTGAGAATAATTTGTCCCATTGTTACAGGCTCCCACTGTTGACCTCTAAAGCTCAAGCCACATGCATAATAGATTTGCTACTGCTTTCTGTTGTTCACTTATGAAGGATGAAATCAAAATTTCAGGAGGTAGAAATGGTACAGAGGGATGGGGTGGGATGGGATGGGATGGGGGGGGGGGATGAATGTATTAAATCAACACTGCCTATCACCACACACTGAACAGAATATTATAAAATAACGTTTTTGGATTACGATAAATGTTAAAAAATTATGTTAAGTAGCTGCAGACTGAAAAATCTGAATAATAAAACATTATTGGTGAGGAGCGGCACATCTATCCGTTCCTTCTGCAAAACAAAACACTTCTCCTTCCTCTTGTCCTTTCTGCTTTCCTTGTTTAGCCTCCATCCCATCAAATTTCGTCTTTTTCTCATGCACAATCAACGCAACGGGACATGAGAGGATGTATGTGACGGCAGAAAGCCACACGCGGTTTGTCTCGCCCAGAGCGGGCCTTCAAAACAGCAAAGGATTTAGGTCAGCCATCCAGAAGGATGGAGGGATGAAGGGATAAAAATGAAAGTCACAGAAAAAAAATGAGGTGAGAGAGATGGAGGAGAAATGGAGGATGATGAAGAGGAAAAAAAGGGCAAAGAAGCAGCCACGCATAAAGAAGAAGAAATTTTTATATACTGTTGAAGAAAAACATTGCATCTGGAACTGGACATCAATAATATAGCAGCTTCTCAGCTCATCCACAAGAATAATGTGTGGGCTCTAGTCTTTACTTTTTTATCACATCAAAACTGATTTTAAAAAAATGTCCTGATTTCATTAAAACAAATATAGCCTTGTACATGACGGTTATATAATGGTTTTTACCTCCTGTGGAGGCTTGAAATAAGAAACATCAGAGGTGGAAAACAGTGTCTGCTGCAGCATTTATGACAAAATTGATATATTGTTGAGTTCTGAAATGAAAGGAATTAAAAGAATTGAAATCATTTTGTCCCATCAGAGCTGGTGACTCCTACAAAATGCTGCAACGTTTGCATGTGAGAGACACTCAAAATTTTGATGGATTGCTTTTTAAATGTCCTGGGGGGAGTATTTTCCAATAAAACAAACATTCATTTTCATAAGTAAAAACTACAGAAACATATTCTGATATTTTAATGTTAATAATTATTGCAAAAAAGAAGCATGAAAACACTTCTTAATAGGCAGAATACAATAAATTATAGCAACGAGATGTTAATTATATATTGTCTATGTGATGTACAATGCACATGTACATTGTGTACTAAGATTTTGACTAAATCTTACCTATAAGCAGAGTCAATAAAAAAAAACAACACAACATACAGTGAAGTTGCATTAGTGAATGTGGTAACAATATGTGGATTTTAAATGATAATCATTTGATTTCTGGTTTGCATTTCCAGGGTCACATTACAAAGGTAACCCTGTTAAAATAGTGACAGAGCAAAACCAGACGCTCCTCTGCAGTTCAGTCAAGCATCAGTTCAAACAATAACTAAGCCCTTTATCCTCCCCCTTCACTTTTATCTCACCCTTCACTTCACGTTACAGCTGTGATGAGCACCGCATGCTGTGAGAGTCTGCATGTGGGTGCATAGAGGCACTGCAAAAGCATGTGTGTGTGTGCAAGTTTGTCAATTAACACCAAGCCACTCTGTGTGACTCGGATTCTGTGCTTATTTGTAGAATATGCAGGACGTGTTGGCACCCACCTCCACAGCTGTCCACAAACTAAATAACATACGTTCTGTATAGATTTCCTGCTTTACCTTTAATTAATGTCCCATCAACAGAGACATGTACCATATAATGCTGAAATATAAATCTATACATGTGAAGTTATGGCCTTTGGTGTGTGTTAATTTGCATTTGTGTGTGTGTGTGTGTGTGTGTGTGTGTGTGTGTGTGTGTGTGTGTGTGTGTGTGTGTGTGTGTGTGTGTGTGTGCGCGCGCGCGCGCGCGCGAGCGTTGTGAATGAGCAGCTTACCAGCCCCGAAGCAAAGAACACAGTCAGCAAAGCCAGGCAGGCTCCCATCACTATGAGGAGCAGAAAAACAATGAGAGGGTGCTGCTGGCTCATACAGTAGTAGGATTCATAAAGCCAGTCTGGGGTTCTTCTCCTCTTCTCCTCACCACTTCCTTCTTTATCCACTTCACCAGACACTCCTGCCCGGTCAAGGAGATACTGCTTCCTCCTCATCGCTTCTTGCCACATAGATCTTGGAGCCGAGAGGGAGGAAAAGGAGAGGGGGAAAGCAGAAGAGGAGGTGGTTACTGCTGAGGCATTAGTAGTTTCCATCACAGAAGAAGAGCAGTTGCTGTTCTGTTCTGTTTTTGTAACGTTGTTCTCATTGGGGACCCTGGAGTGAGAACTCCTGAGTTCCAGCTTGCTCCTCGGTTCTTCCTCCACCTCCTCCCTTAAATCCTTTAGCCGGAGACAACTGAAGGCTGATGCTGAGTCTGACTCAGACGCAGTGTGCACTGGCTGGAGAGGTGGCAAGAACGCACCAACGGTAGAGCGCAGCATCTTCCTCGTTCTTCCACTGCCAACATGTTGGGGTGGAAAATGAAGGGAAGCACAGACACAGAGTGCTCTTTAAAGAGAGAGAGAAAAGTGGGAGGGAAGTGAAGTGAAGGGAGAGGGGAGGGGAGGGGAGGGGGAAAGGGCTTAAAGGGGAGGGGAGGGGGGGAAAGGAGGTGCAGAACTGAGAGAAGGAGAGACGTCCACCAGAGAAAAGGAGGAACGAAGGAAGAAATAATTTTGATTATTAGGATTCAAAAAGTAATGTGAGTACATAGTAAATGACTGTGAATAAAAAATTCTCCAAACATAATAAGCATAACAGCAGGTAAACTTTACACTCCAATAAAAGCAACTATCATAATTTGTAATGTGAAGATAAGCATTATTTTAATTTTATGCAAAAGAAAAAAGAAACTTGTTCATCAGATAAACATAAACCCAGAATCAAAATGTTCAGTGTAGTTGAGTCAATGTGGCTAAAAAACGGAGTGTGGTGTGACAAACCGAAAAATTGCAATGAATATGCGTACATCTAAAAAGATGTACAGTGATGGAATAATCTGGGCCTTTAAACACTAAAATTAAATTGAATAAATTTAGATGTCTGCTACTGCAGAAACATAAACATAAACATAATAATAATAATAATAATAATAATAATAATAATAATAATAATAATAATAATAATAATAAAGACTAATTATTTTAATTGGGACTGATTTCTAAAAATGAATCATTATATTATAATATAGGAATTTTTTCATGTGTCATGTCCTACCCCCAGACTGAAGATGGAATGCCTGCAGCCTTCTTAACAAAGCATGCACTTCGTAAACGTCACCTTAATCAAAGACGTGTGACTCATTACTCCAACTTAAGGTCTAGTCACTGATTTACAGAACAGAACCTATCAACAGTGGGAGGTGCTTGGTAACATATTTCAGGCACTGTTCAGTGTTGTTTGGTTAAAACTGGGGAAAGTTGATTTAAAACAAAAAATTGCCTTACACAGGTTTTGAGAATAAGATATAATCGTTTTTGCATCAGTTTTAATAAACCAACAGCTGTTTGAAAGAAAATACGAGACCTGAAAATCCACACCATTTATCTATGCACACTCATGATTCAGCTAATTTCAAATATTACAAAAAAATAAAAATAATAAAACAGCTGTCTGAAAGAGGTAAGTAGCCGTTTAAATGAACTATTGCAATATGATATGTCACATTTGTTTACTTTTATCACACATCTTTCTCCATTAGCTCTGTTCTTGTCTATGATCTCTTTTCTCCAAGGGCGACTTGGTCCTGTTAGGAGTGTAGTTTAATCTCATTGTTAAAATTAGCATGCTTTTCTACCTATTTCATTTTATTATTAATCTGAAACTGAAACCAATTGTTTTCCAACAAGCTCAAAATGATCTGTCCAGCATATGCTGAGTGTTAAAGCAAAACACGGAAAATCACGGAAAACTGGTCAGTTTAAAGCCACTACATTTGACTTGATTCTGTAGATATGAGCATCTTTTTTTTTTCTAAATAAGAAAAGTTGCTAGGATTGCAATAACTTTTTCTAATAGAGCTGTTTGGTTTGGGGAAAAAATAAAGTTCTTGAATATTTTGGTTAAAACTGGTCTCACAATTACTTATCACTTATTGAGTGACTCAAGATGATCATAGGCACTAAGTTGTCTGAGGCTTTATTCCTCTGGAAGGGTCAACCATTGGCAAACAGGTCCTAGGTGAGAGATTGCAAAAAGAGCATCCCAAAGACCCCTTATGAAGAAAAATATACATGGAAATAGTGTTCCCTCGTCCGGACATGGGTCACCGAGGCCCCCCTCTGGCAGTTGGGGCATGTTGGCGAGCACCTGGTGGCTGGGCTTTCATCCATGGAGCCTGGCCGGGCACAGCCCGAAGAAGAAACGTGGGTCCCTCTTCCAATGGGCTCACCACTCGTGGAAGGGGCAAAATGGGTCAGGTTCAGTGTGTGACGGGTGGTGGCCGAGAGCAGGGACATTGACAGTCTGTCCCTCAGCTACAAAAGCTGGCTTTTGGCATGTAGAAGGTCACCTCTCCGGTAGAGAAAAAGGCTGACTTGGTGTGCAAGGTTGAGAGGTTCCAATTAGATATAGTCGGACTCACCTCAACGTATGGCTCTGGCTCTGGACCAGTTTCCTTGAGAGGGCTGGACACTCTACCACTTTGGAGCTACCCCGACTGAGAGGTGCTGAGCAGGGGTGTGCATACTAGCTGAACGAGTGGGTTGCCTACTTCCGCCTACATGTGGGGGGATGGGTCCTGACCGTTTTTGTACTTATGCACCACCTGCAGTTCAGACTATCTGCCCTTTACCCACCTTGGAGTAGGTGCTGGAGAACGCTCCTTCTGGTGACTCTCTCGTTCTGCTGGGAGATTTTAACACTCAAGTGGGCAAGGAAAGTGAGAACTGGAGAGGTGTGGTTGTAAGGAACAGCCCCCTGATCTGCATTTGAGTGGTGTTTTGTTATTGGACTTCTATGCTAGTCATGGATTGTCCATAATGAACACCATGTTCAGGCATAAAGATGTCCGTATGTGCTCGGCACCAGGATACCTTAGGCCGCAGCCCGATAATCAACTTTGTTGTTGTCTCATCTGATCTGCAGCAGCATGTGTTGGACACTTCTGTAAAGAGGGGAGTGGAGCTGTCAACTGACCACTATCTGGTGGTGAGTTGTGAGGGTCTGCTGGGAACATCTGGCAGAGTCTCCTGTCAGAAGGAGCTTCAATTCCCACCCCCGACAGAACTTCCAATATGTGCCGGGGGAGGCGGGGGACATTGAGTCTGAATGGACCCTCTTCCATTCGTCCATTGTCGAGACGGTCCACCAGATCTGTAGCCGCAGGGTCATCAGTGCCTGTCATGGCAGCAACCCCGGTACCTGCTGGTGGTAGTCACAGTAATGCCGTCAAGCTGAAGAAAGAGTCATATCAGATCTTTTTGGCCTGTGGAACTCGAGAGGCAGCTGACAGGTATCAGCAGTCCAAGCGTAATGCGGCTTGGGTGGTTGCCGAGGCAAAAACCCAGGTGTGGGAGGAGTTCGTGAGATCATGGTAAATGACAATCAAAGGGCTTTGAGGAGATTCTGGTCCACCATCCGGCACTTCAGGAGGGGAAAGCAGTGAACACTGTGTATGGTGGGGATGGTGTGCTGCTTACCTTGACTCGGGACATTGTGGAGAAATGGGCGGAGTACTTTGAAGACCTCCTCAATCCCATCGGCATGTCTTCCAGTGAGGAAGCAGAGTCCAGGGACTTTGGGTCGGACTCTCTGGAGCTGAGGTCACTGAGGTTGTCAAAAAGCTCCTTGGTGGGGGTGGAATAGATCCGCCCGGAGTTCCTTAAGGCTCTGGATGTCGTAGGGCTGTGTTGACTGACGAGGCTCTGCAATTGCACAGTTTGGGGGCAGTTCCATTTGAATGACAGACAGGGGATGGTGTCTGTCAATGCAGTGTGTGTTCCAACTACAGGGGAATTACACTCTCGACCCACCCTGGTAAGGTCTTTTCAGGGGTTCTGGAGAAGAAGGTCCATCGGATTGTCGAACCTCAGAATCAGGAGGAACAATGTGCTTTTTGTCCTGGCCGTGGAACACTGGAACAGCTCTATACCCTTAGAGGGGTCCTGGAGGGTGAGTGGGAGTTTGCCCAAACAATCTACATGTGTTTTGTGGATTTGGAGAAGGTGTTCAGCCATGTTCCTCTGGGGGCCCTGTGGTGGATATTTCAGAAGTATGGGGTACCAGGCCCTCTGATACGGGCTGTTACGTCCCTGTATGACCCATGTCAGAGCTTGGTCCGCATTGCCAGTATCTTGTTCTCGATGGGAATTAGTTTATGCCAAAGCTCCCCTTTGTCACCAATTCTAGTCATAACTTTTATGGACAGAATTTCTAGGCACAACGAAGGTGTTGAGGGGATCTATTTTGGTGACCTAAAGATCAGGTCTCTGGTTTTTGCAGATGATGTGGTCCTGTTGACCTCATAAGAACGTAATCTCCGGCTCTCGCCGGAGCGGTTCACAACCAAGTGTGAATCAGCTGTGATGAGAATCAGCTTCCCTAAATCAAAGACCATGATCTTGAGTCAGAAAAGGGTAAAACGTCTTCTCCGGGTGAAGGATGAGGTCCTCCCCAAAGTGGAGGAATATCTTGGGGTCTTGTAGGGCTGTTCGATTATGGCAAAAATGAAAATCACGATTATTTTCAATGAAATTGAGATCGTGATTATTTCACGATATTTATTTAACTATAACAATGTATTGAATAATTGCTTTAAAGATTGTCAAAAAATATTAAATTGTTTGCAAATACTAACCACTGTGCAAATGTTTGCTTTGCAATATAAGAAAAAAAAATATAAACGTTAATGTTCAGTGAACTTCCAACTACTGCATAATATTTATGCATACAAATAACCAAACATCAAGGCAAGCTGTATAGCCACACAATGCACAATTGCATCAAACTGACATTGAGGTATGTCAACTATAGTTGCTGCCTGAACAAAAATAAAATTAAACACTGAAAGTAGTACCTTTGGTAAAAAATAAATAAAAACTAGTAGGCCAGAGTCCCATACAATCTTAAAATGACTCAACAAAACATGGTTCCTGCAACCTTTCAAAGGTTTTTAGCCAAAAACACCAGCCTATTAACATGGTCAGGCCTTAGGGATGCACACAGGCAGTTGACAACATTTCCACCAGTGCTGAAGACCCTTTCTGATGAGGCACTTGTGGCTGGGATGCAAAGATATTTCTTTGCCAGGATGCAGAGTCGTGGGAAGAGGTTCTGTGATAGCTTCCACCACCCCAGTGGGTCTTCCTCTGTGTCCAGGGTCCCTGCCTGGAGGTACCCCTGAAGCTCACAAGCTATGGCCTGGTCCAGTTGAAGAGTATGTTCTGCACCTGGAGCTGCTGGTCTGTGAGGGGCCTTAAAGAAGCTGCTTAGGCCCCTTTTCCTCTTTGTTTGGTTTGATGCACCATCATCAGCAACCTCCGTGTTACAAACGGGTGTCCCCATCACTGCAGCCTCCTTTAATGGGACAAACATAAAATGACAGCAACACAGAATGAGGAACCAGTTTTATCTGTCTCGGGTTTGGCATTCTAAAGTACAATCCTTAAATAATTACTATACAGACAGACAGACAGACAGACAGACAGACAGACAGACAGACAGACAGACAGACAGACAGACAGACAGACAGACAGACAGACAGACAGACAGACAGACAGATAGATAGATAGATAGATAGATAGATAGATAGATAGATAGATAGATAGATAGATAGATAGATAGATAGATAGATAGATAGATAGATAGATAGATAGATAGATAGATAGATAGATAGATAGATAGATAGATAGATGATAGATAGATGATAGATAGATGATTGATGATAGATAGATAGATAGATAGATAGATAGATAGATAGATAGATAGATAGATAGATAGATAGATAGATAGATAGATAGATGATAGATGATAGATAGATAGATAGATAGATAGATAGATAGATAGATAGATAGATAGATAGATAGATAGATAGATAGATAGATAGATCTACTAGGGCGTGCAGCTGAGCGACTTCTGCACGCAGCTGAGCAAACTCCGCTGGGTCAATCTGAGACTCCGTCATCCTGTCAGGTTGGATTGGCTGAGCTGAAGCGTAACGGAGGTTGCTTGTAGGGTGGCTGTGTGACCCAGACGCGGAGTGGCTAGCGTTAGGTTGAACAGAGTACGCAGCTTTGATCTAGGAACGGCGATGCAGCGCTCAGATAGAGCCGAGGCTGAGCTGCGGTTCCGAATAATTAAGGAAGCTGTCTTACCAGTGGTAGGCAGCGAGGGAAGATCTCTTCCCTGGTTTGATGGTGGATCATACTGAGAACTAGGTTCGACGTATGTCTAGTACGATGACTGAGTGACAACTCAGCGGTGGCACTTCCCTAAATAGAGTTGACGTGATGACGTTGCCGAGCCGCGCCGGCGATGGGAATGCTGGGATGTGTAGTGCTCCGCCCGCTAGGTAAGTAGAGATGGTCAGGAGGAGGAGTTTGTGACAGATGTAAACTACCCATCCTTTACAATGACCAGAGTCATCTGAAGGCACTTCGAACATTCCAGTTGAATTCAGTTCATTATGCAAATTAGTTGAACGTTTTCTATAGAAGGAACCCAGCAGATTGCATCGAGTCACTGACTAGTGTCAGAGACTTTGCAGCAATCATCATACTAAGCAAGCATGTAGCGACAGTGGAGAGGAAAACTCCACTAACAGAATATTCTTGAATTATTTTTTTTAATTGGGTTAAAGTTAAACAAAGGGCTGTGAAAAATGTATCAAGAAAACAGAACTGACCTGGACCTAGAGGGTCAATACCCTGAATGTTCTATCCATTTCCCTGCTCCATCACACCTGGTTCAATCGTTGAATCACCTCTTTATCGTGTCCTCAAGTCCTTCAGAAGCCTGTTAATCACCCATTGATTCAAACCAGATGTTGGTGCAGGGAAGCATGCAGGTAGTGGCCCTCAAGGAAATGTAACATTTTGTATTCAGAGCAGCAAGGTCTTTCACATCAGTTAGTCAGCCTGAGAGTTGTTCCACAATTACGTTGCCTTTATCACCAGATTTTCCATTTGAATATGTTGCTTATGATGCATATTCAGTTATTTTAAAGCTTTGGAGCTTTTTTGATTATGGTTGACTTTCTCACTCATTGCTAAAAGTAACACAAAATGTTCTGCAAAGGTGTTAGTAAAGGAAGGAAGGAACTCTGCATAAATCTGTGATTCTCTTTGTTGTCTGATGCACTTTCAAGTCCTAAAGTGTAAAAATAACCACGTCTGTCCCAAACCAAACACTTGTACTGTTTTGACTTACCGCCACATAAAAACCTCAGCATCACCTTATATCACCATACAGAACAAATAACACATTTTATGGGGAATGTGCAGTGAGCAAAATGTTTAATTCATAACTCGGATAAGAAACGAGTTTGGTTAATATTCTAGAAATACATTTAAATCAGGGGTGCCCAATCCTGGTCCTCAAGGGCCGGTATCCAGCATGTTTTAGTTTTAATTCTGCTTCAACACACCTGATTTAAATCAGCAGGTGATCAACACGCTTCTACACAGCCAGACGAGCTGCTGCACTGGTAATTTAACCAGTTAATCAAGTGTGTTGGAGCAGAAAAACCACAAAAGCTACTAGATACCGGCCCTCCAGGACCAGGATTGGGCACCCCTGATTTAAATATTCAGAGTCTGACTTTCTATTCCTACTCAACCTTCATTCAATTTTTATTCTTGATTTGCACTTAACAAAAAGATGTGCTTTAGATGTTTGAATAACCCACATGTTGGCTAAAACACATAATTAACCTAACTGTAAGCATGTGTACAGGTTTTAGATCATACATTACATTAATCTGGTTCTGTCAATGTCACAATCTGAAGGCAGTGATGTAAGTAAGTAAAAGTAATGTATGTACATATCATAGCCAAAGGCCTGAGAGAGAGAGAGAGAGAGAGAGAGAGAGAGAGAAAGAGAGAGAGAGAGAGAGAGGGTGTGTGTGTGTGTGTGTGTGTGTGTGTGTGTGTGTGTGTGTGTGTGTGTGTGTGTGTGTGTGTGTGTGTGTGTGTGTGTGTGTGTGTGTGTGTGTGTGTGTGTGTGTGTGTGTGTGTGTGCGTGCGTAAGGAATAAAGAGGATTAGCACTAATTTATCCTGTGGCAGGATAACAACTGATACAAGGCAGGTGAGACAATGAGAGGCAACTTAAACCAGATGCGAGGGAGGAATGGAGAACAAACCAAAGAAGCAACTGAGGTTAAGAATAACCACAATAAAAACTGAAGATGTACAATTACAACAAAACACAAAATACATAATAAAAGTGAATGAATGTTTAGTGGAATATCAAGATGAAGATTTTTCTTCCATCTTTAAGAAACAGTCTTTAGCTAAATCACCATTTTGTTTCATCTCCTTAGGTTGTTAACTTTTATTGAGCTTCTTTCTTCTTCTTCTCCCATGTCTGTATCTTTCTTCTCACCGGTCTCTTCCTGGTTCTCTGTGCTATTATTCTTCCTGGCCTTTTTCTTTACTCATTTTCACTTTTGTGGCCTCCTTTGGTCACAGCCTGATGGGTGATGCAGGTGCATCTTCCTTGTTGGCTGAAAATGAACCTCACATGGAGCAACACCAGAGGCGGTGTTATGGAATACTTGAATTGCCAAATTGTCTTTTTTCCAAATGAAGCAGACAGTAAAAGTGAACTTAAGTAATAAGAGACAGAATATGCTTTTCTACTGATCTCAATATTTTCTATTGGCAGGAAATGAAATGTTGTCTTAAGTGGAAATTTCTTGAATATACAGCCAGCTACTTAAGAGTGTTGTAGAATGAGCAGAGAAGTGACTAAAATATCAGTCTACTGTGTTTTTGTTGTGTAGCACACTGTTGGCTGTGTCTAATGTTCATGCTGAATCAACACTGGGACTCTGACAGAAATCTACTTGTTTGGTTCAGTATAGAGAATCATTTGTTTGCATTAATGATGTTTTCTTTTACTGCATGAACTTTAAATAAAACATTTTTTTAAACTATCGAACACAACAATTCACATGATATGCTTTTAACTGAAATCCCATCCTCTTACTTGGAGCGTAAAGCTTGGTTTATGCTTGACGCATTTACTTTCCGCTTGGTGATGCCGCTCGCGGATGGAACGTGCTTCACAACTTGCAGCGTTTATGGTTCATGCGGCTCGTCTCTGCGGTGAGCCAATATTCTCCCAAACAGTGGCGGCTGGTGAAAAATATTTTTGGTGGGGCTGTGCTATTTTTTTTAAACAAACTTGTGCTTTCTGAGCTTTGTGCACAACTTCACTATTTCCTGAATTAAGCACAGCTCTTTTATTTCCTGTCTTACATCATTGGACAAACTGATTAATCCAGGTGTGTCTGACTATTGGCAAACTGCCTTGCGGACCAAGGTTGAAAAATATTGCATTAAATTGCACATAAAATAACATGACCATAAATGGTAAATAGGCAATGCAAGAGGCAAGTAACAAAAACATTTTGTTTAATTTCAACATTTGAGTGAACACGAAAAATTATGAGCAGGTCACTGTTACAGTAATGGTAGTAAACACTACTTAGACAAAATGCCAGAAATTTACACTGTTAGGACTTATGGAAAGTGGAAACACTTTCATAGGAAATAATGTCATCAGTATCCTCTTACAAATGTCATATTTCCCACTTCCCAAGCTGGGAAATTTGTTTGCTGCAGCAGAAGTGTAACAAGTAAAATGGAATCAGATTGATGTATGTACAAATTTACTTGAAATACACATTTACATGATTAAATATGTATAATAAGTATGTGTGTTGAAATTAGTTTTTACAGTTATTGCACATTAAACAATGTACATGTTATTAAACAAATGTCCCGGTTTGTGGGACAACCAAGGATTTCTGATTCTGATAATGGTCAGCTTACCTCTGCACCCAGCTGCTGTTCTCCCTGTCCAAACGTCCTCCGTTTCTTTGTTGGCTGCTGCACTGATGCGCTGCATTCCTCAGTCAGAGAATGAATGGAGTCCCCAATGAGACACAAGTTCCACATCCACCTTCTGTGGATCCCAGCCGTTTTGAATAACAAACACAGAAAGCAAAATAACGCATTAGCGTGATTGCATCCAGCTAGCCACTGCTTCCTGGTGTACCAATTTTGGGAGAAGCGTCGTGTGTACAGTTTACCCTTCTCCTTCTCCTGCTGGCTTATCTTTACATCGGGCTGATCTGGTCCAAGCTCTTTGACATTAAGTTTTTCCACCATAGTTCTCCTCTCGAACGGATACTGGAGGAGACCGAACTGAATTCAGTGGCTGCTGAGATCCGGTATCCATGTTGTAGGCGCACTGGCGTCCATGTCTACGTCTGCGTCATGACCGTCAAAACGTGCTGGAGTCGAGACTGTCCGAGTTCTACCGAACATCAACGAAAGCCTTGGCGGTAGCTCTATCGCCCATCATGCTTCTGAAACTTTCTGAAACAACGTCGACGCTGATTGGATACATTCCCATTCCTACCCTTTGATTTTCTTGTCAGCAATTGGACAACTGGTCCCGTCCTGTTTGGGCGATTGAAAAACAGCACACAGCCTCCACCGCTCGGCAGAGACCGGCAGAGACCAATATAGATATATATACATATATGATTTATTTTTGTTACAAAACACACAATTAACTTAGAATATGTGATTATTGTTAATTTTATTTATTTATTTTTTAAAATAAAAATTAAAAACACAGGGGAAACTGGGAGGGCGGCGCCCTATCGCCCTCTACTGGCCAGCCGCCACTGCTCCCAAACTGTGTGGGGAAGCATGGAGCTCTACAGCATGCATCCAACACCACCATAGTAGAAGTAAAAATGACTGTTGTTTAGAACATGGCATTCCAGCATTTTTTAACAGCGTCCTCGTCTTTTCCGACAGTGCGAGCTATTTCTCTCCAAGAACTATTAACAACATGTTGATCACGGTGATTTTTGAGAGCTGAATCATACAAATGTCTGTATTTACGAACCTCTGCCATACTTGATCTTGCCAGTCAGCCATGTTTTTCCGCGTCCGACCGTCCGCGTGGTTAGAAAATTTCCTAGGTGCGCGGTGCGGAAAGTTTGGTCGGTGCGGAGGTGCGGTGGAGGGGCGTGGTTGTTAAAATGACGCAATTTTGCCGCGCGGAATTGTGCGAACCTCGCCGACACGTCAAGCATAAACCAAGCTTAACAGTCGGCATAGACACATGAAATTGTTATTAAATTGTACTCAGTTCAGTGCAGAAGTCACCTCCAGCCCATCACAGAAAAGGTTAATGATGCCAGCGTCTTAACCAGTCCAAGCCCTCCATTGTAGACAAGAGAGCAACAAAAGTTTTACTTTGAATACATCAATCTTTTACCATTGTATGTCATTTTTTCAAACAGAGATTTAACAAAAAAATTATATTAAATGTACTGATAGGTAATATTTTATTTATCCCATATTACCTGAAAGGATGACACACGCAGAGGAATTAAATTGGTAATTTGTATTTTCCATGACCCATTAACCTGAAATAAACAGATACACACAGAGGAGTTCATTTTACACTGTGTTGCCAAACAGCAGAGAGAAGACGCTGGGTCAACCCCTTCCGGAGCTGTTCCCAAGTCTCTCTGTCACTCCTCAGTTTCACAGGGGTTTTATTGACAACCAGGACAGAGAAGGCAGGCCTTCTCAAGTTACAGACTTACAGGCTCTTCATCTCCCAGGACACCACATTCCAGAGATAATCATCTTGTCTCAGGAAGTTACAGATAACAGGAGGGTGATCAAAGAGGTCTTCCTTCACCACTCAAAGGCCTAATCCACACGTAGCCGTTTTTAAAAAAAACGAATATCTGCCCCTCCAAAAACTTGCATCCACACCACCTCGTTTTAAAAAACAACTGTCCACAAGTACCCAGATAAATACGTTGTTAAGGACATGCCAGACCTGTAGGCGGCAGTACTTCCCTCGTTCTTAACCTCGTCCTTCATCTGTGGTCTTCCGCAAGGAGCAGTAATTCCGCTTGCAAAAACAAACAAGCAAAAAGCGCTTGGACAATTGATAAAGCGAGCGCAGCTCTGAGGGCATCCATGCTGTCGGCTAGTGTAAACACAGGTCGCACACGTGATGTCAGCATTTTTTTGTCACGGAAAGTGACGTTGCGGACCTTAAAACTCCGGTTTTGTCTGTCCACACGCAGACACCCAAAACGGAGAAAATGCAGATCTTCACTTTGGCCGGAGTTTTTAAAAAGATCCATTTTCGTGTGAAAAAACTCCGTTTTTGTGTGGATGACAGGCCAAAACGTAGAAAAATATCTACGTTTTGGCAGATCCCCGGCTACGTGTGGACAGGGCCTAAGATGTGATCAAAGCTGATGACCCTCCGTTTAAACAAACACCTGCACTGTTACATCAATAACCCTGTGACCCACTTCTTTCCTATATACGCACCAGCTCTGCGTTTAACACCTCAGCTCCACACACACATAGAGAGACAGAGACAGACAGACAGACAGACAGACAGACAGAGCCGGCTCAAAGCTTCAGAACTGTAGCTACACAATCACACTTAGAACAGAACCTGCAGGATTCACACACACTCAAAAACCCAGATACATGCCCCTTTTCACACACACACACACACACACACACACACACACACACAGAGACACGTATACCTTCACACACACACACACACACACACACACACACACACACACACGCACGCACGCACACATACACACACACACACACACACACACACACACACACACACAGAGACATGTATGCCTTCACAAACAAACACAGATATCCGCCGAAGCAAAGTTCACAGCCGGGTTTTTAACACTTTGGCACAGATTTAAAACCACAATGCAGCACAGACGTCCGATGTCTGTGATGGGACAGCCGACACTAATATGTCAGCAACAAATCACAGGACCACAAAGATCTGCACAACCAGAAGTGGCAAATCCGATCAGAAATGGGACGCAGCCCCAATACCAGATGCACAACAAATTACGAATAACACACAGCAAGGCCGAATTTAGACCAACTGTGGATTCTTTGGCCAACTGTAGCGGTGATTAATTTTTGTGTACCTTTGTTGCACCATGAAATATTTAAACAATCCCAGCGACAGTGTGATTTTTAGCAACTATCCTCTCCACTCGACACCAGCACATGGACTCTGTGCTGCGTGTATATAGCAACAGTTTTAGGTGCCCCTGCACATTCACCTGTACTTACCACCCACAGCACTGTGGGCTGCCTGTGCGCGTAGACACAGACTAATTACAACCTCCCTCATTCAAGACCAGGTCTACAGCCACGGTTCACAGTTCCAGTGCAACCCCTAGCTGGACACGAAAATGTCTTTTCGTGCGTGAATGGCAGTCACCACAATCAGCTTAAAAACACACTGCCAGCAGTTAAGGAAAAAGGTGCAAAATAATGAGGTACTTACTCTCCTCTGCGTGGTAAATTCGTCCTGAGTTCGGGAAGGCGAGAGCGTAAATGGGAATCTGCCTGCGGGGCTAAAAAAACGGCCGGTGAAACAATTATAGTTCCCCGGGCTTTGATGAGGTAAGTGGCGCCTGCACGGCTTCCCGAAGACAGCTTCCCACCGACAGCTTCGCCTTCCCGGGTTTTGGCACCAAAATGATAGGTAATATTTTATTTATCCCATATTACCTGAAAGGATGACACATGCAGGGGAATTAGATTGGTAATTTGTATTTTCCATGACCCATTAACCTGAAATAAACAGATACACGCAGAGGAGTTCATTTTACACTGTGTTGCCAAACAGCGGAGAGAAGACGCTGGGTCAACCCCCTCCGGAGCTGTTCCCAAGTCTCTCTGTCACTCCTCAGTTTCACAGGGGTTTTATTGACAACCAGGACAGAGAAGACGGGCCTTCTCAAGTTACAGACTTACAGGCTGTTCATCTCCCAGGACACCACATTCCAGAGATAACAGAGATAACAATGAGCTTACAGGAGCAGACGTTCTTTAAGACTCGATAACAGTGAGCTTTACAGAAGAGCGCAGACGTTCTTTAAAGCTCAAAAAGGATCATATAGAAAATACCCAACATGTACTTTAATCAGTCAGGGAAATGGGAAAGCAGTTTGCTACTAGAAAAGTAAAACAGACAGAGCATGTTTAGCAGAATTATGCGTGATCAAGGCTCAGCTGTTCTGTCTGCTTAGAAAAATGTTTGCCCTAGAGCATTTTTATAATCCCATAGCTTAAAGTGTTATTGTGGTTTTTCTCTGTGATGTCTGACTCATATAAATGTCATCTTATCTTCCCAGAAAAGTAATCTGGTCTTTCTTTTCAAAATCGCTCACTTTTACTATCTGAATTTTGGTTTTAGGATTAAACCAGCAAAACCCTTAATAAAAAAAACACAGCTGTTGTATGGAAATAGGAAGCCCAACTGTCATGATCTGCCCCTGCCCTGTCCCTTGTTAACCTGCCCATGTGTTCCTGGTTTTCCCCAGTGTATTTATACCTCCCGTCTCGTATGTCCTGTGTCAGATCATTGTAGTTTTTTGTCATTGTTGTCCTGTGCTGTTCGTTCCCGTTCCACCATTAAAACAGTTTTTTTACTTTACCTGAAGCCTGCATCTGTACCTCCTGATCTGCGCCACCACACTTGGTCCATCATCTCCACACCCGCAACGTGACAGAATGATCTGACCAACCTGGACCTGTGGTGAGCTCAAAACATCTCCCTGGAGGATTATTTTTTGCTTTGTCCCCTTTTCAGCGGAGGGAGATTCCGGCCTGAGGGATTTTCGGCGCATCCTACCTGTTCTCGGGGTGGTCAAAATCATTTCTCCTCTCCTGCTGTGTCGCCCCGTCCTGTTTGTCCAATGGAAGCCGAGGATCCTGGAGTTTTGATGGAGGTAAAAACCCCTACGCACGCCAACGTTCTCCGGGGTGGTAGGGCTGGTCTTCCCGCTCCATGTCTGCTTCCCTTCACCCGAGCCTCCGCCAATGGACCCAGCGAATCGGGATGTGCACCTGCTCAGACCGTATATCGAGTACCTGCCGCCGAGCTGGGTTTCCTCGCGTTGCTCCTGCAGTACACTAACTTCCTGGTCCATGCCTGTGGGGCCTACTCTTGCAGGTCCTCCATGCTGCAGCCTCTTCTTAGTTCCGCCTGCTGCTGCAGCCTCTTCAGGGTCCCATGCCTGCTGCTGCAGCCTCTACTGGGTCCAACGCCTGCTGCTGCAGCCTCTACTGGGTCCCACCCCGGCTGCTGCAGTTTCCAGGTCCCGTTCCAGTTTCTGTTCGTGTCAAGTGTTCCAGTTTCCGAGTGTCCTGTCGAGTTCTAGTTGTCCCGCGCCTGCTGCTGTCGAGGTCCAGTGCCCAGCTGTCGAATTCCAGTGTCCCGCGCCCGCTGCTGTCGAGTTCCAGAGACCTGAGTTCCCGAGGTCAAGTGTTCCTGGTCCTCCGAGTCAAGTGTTCCTGGTCCCCCGAGTCAAGTGTTCCTGGTCGCCCGAGTCAAGTGTTCCCGAGTCTCCTGTGTTATGTGGCTTGTGGGCGTCTGGTGTCCGCCCCTTGGGGGGGGGGGGGGGTCATGATCTGCCCCTGCCCTTGATTAGTCCCTATTGGTTTCACCTGTCCCTTGTTAACCTGCCCATGTGTTCCTGGTTTTCCCCAGTGTATTTATACCTCCCGTCTCATATGTCCTGTGTCAGATCATTGTAGTTTTTTGTCATTGTTGTCCTGTGCTGTTCGTTCCCGTTCCACCATTAAAACAGTTTTTTACTTTACCTGAAGCCTGCATCTGTACCTCCTGATCTGCTCCACCACACTTGGTCCATCATCTCCACACCCGCAACGTGACACCAACGACAGCAACAGAATCCAACTTGACTAAATAAAAGCCACAGTTACAAATGTACGGGGTTTTTGGCACATACAAATCTTTCTCAGACTAAGTTTTATGCATTAAATCATGACACTATAGTATGATTAAAGACTACTTGCTAAGACTTTGGGGAAATCTGTTTTGAGCTCTGTGATATTCAAGTGTTTTTATTACAAAACAGTTCAACTCATAAAGCTTTGACACTTCAAAGGGCAAACATAATTCACCACATTTGAAAAATATCATTTAACAAAATAAAAAAGAAGTTGATGTGAAGAAAAAGTGTTACACAATGCCTAAAGTAATACACTGAGAGACACGTGGCTCCAAGTGATGTCACGCGCCCACACCCCCATCCCCCAGCTTCAGGCTAGAGGGCAAAAAGACGGCCCTCCCTTGACCATAGTTGTTATTATCTTTCAGTTGTCAATAAATAGAGCTCTATTTTCTTTCAAAGGGTTATGAACAGGGAAAACAAGTATAATCTATTTAGCTCTGCAGGCTTTATATCTGAAAAAATATGGCTGTGAAGAAGCTAAATGCATGATTATGCTCACTAGCTGTCTTGTCTACAGCTAATCCGTGGGATTTCTGCAGGCAGGTAGCATGCATTAAAGTTATTAAGGTGCTTTTGTCTGGGAACAACAGGAACTTGTGGTGTGAAACAATGAGGTGCACCACAGACTTAATACCCTGAAGTTGCAGGAACTTTACTGCAGGACTTGTAGCCTTTTACCTTTAGAGAATGAATACTTAGAGTTCCACTAGGAGTTTCATGCTAAATCTCACAAGCAAACATTTTTCATTACATTACAATATGTTACCACCCCATTGTACTGCAAAATAACTAAAAAAAACAACAATGGATTAAGATGGATGAAGCACCATAACAGCATACTTCTGATGCACCAGTTTTCTCATAAACATTTCAGATGAGATACCCGCTTGTCCACGCAGTGCCGCTGGGGGGCTGGTGTCTATCTCTAGCAGTCTCTGAGCAAGCAGGTGGGGTACAACCTGGACAGGTTGCCAGTTAATCGCAGGGCAACACAGAGACAGGACAAACAACCATGCACACACACTCACACCTAAGGACAGACCAATTAACCTGGCAGTCATGTTTTGGTCAGTGGGGGGAAGCCAGAGCACCTGAGAGAACCCACACATGCACAGGTAGAACATGCAAGCTCCTTGCAGTGAGACCCCAGGCCAGGATGTGAACCCAGGGCCTCCTTGCTGCAAGACAACAGCGCTAGCCACTGTGTCACTGTGCAGCCCCCTCTCAGAGCAGCCACTCTTCTAATTTTAGTTTCCTCTAACAGCAAACCACAATTTATTTATTTATTTATTTATTTATTTGTTTGTTTATTTATTTATTTGTTTATTTATTTATTCGTTTATTCATTTATTTATTTATTTATTTATTTATTTGGCAGAGTGAATGAGATCACAGAAAGCTTCACAATGAAAAGTAAAAACTAAGAAGAGTTTATTTATTTTTTATGAAATATCTTTCATTTCTTTCTGTGAACCATGCAGAGTATGACCTCCAGAACGATGTGTTGAATGGATTCAAACCTACAATAGACTTTGCACTTGGTGGAGTTATCTTGTTAAGCTTTTGAGCGTCATTGTCGACATGTCCTCTGCACTGAGAATAAACTTGAATGGTAAATTAGCAGCTGAGTGCAGCTCAGATCAGTTGTATAGCAGCTGCATCTTTTCTCTTTTTTTGTATGAGCCTTCAATCTTATCAGCCTTTTGAAGGAGGACACAGCTCTGACAAACAGCATCTAACAAAAGAAACCGTTATTCTGTCAGTCCGAGTGAAATGCTGTGTTTTTTTCTTACCTTTCATGGTTGAGTGATGTTCTGTCCAGGCACTGGACCCTGAGAGTGAACAGCACAGATGAACCTTATGACGCAAATCAGGACATGAAGACTTTTTAATAGCTGAATTGATGTAATTTAGGAAACTAAACAAAACTATGTTGCAAAAGTCATTTTCTAAATGTGTATTTTTCAAACTGTTATGAACAATTGGTCAACATGCATCTTTCACTTTGAAGTATGTACTTTTACAAAATGAATGTTGTGTTGTGTGAGCCCAACAACATGGATGCAGTTTTTGCTTGCTTTACAGCTTTTAACTCACTGCCGTAAAACCAAATTTTAACACCTTAATCTAACTGCTGAAATGTCCCCTCAGCTTTCATTAGTTTCTATTGGAGCAGTTCCTCACTAAATCAAACAAATCATTTGTGTTCATGACCTAAAACATGCAGGAATCATGCTGAAAGCAGATTCCAGTGCTAGCATGTCGGCTAGCTACTTTCCCATTGAATTAGAGCAGGAGTATTCAATTGCAGGCCAGCACGTTTTAGTTTTAACCGTTTCAACATACCTGATTTCAGTCAGCAGGTAATTAATAGGCTTCTGCAGAGCCTGATGCACAGGTGATTCAACCACTGACTCTAACATGTTGGAGCAGAGAAACAACTAAAATGTGCTGGATACAGGCCCTCCAGGCCCGGTTGTTGAATACCCCTGCATCCCTCCCACAGTGGCCTGAAATACAAAGTTTAAAGGGAGGTTGCAAATCAAGCCATGGGGAATTATTGGAAAATTTGTACTAGAATAATGAGCAAAGGGCTGTGCAGTGGCGCAGTGGTTAGAGCTGTTGCCTTGCAGCAAGAAGCTCTGGGGTTTGCTTCCCAGCCTGGGGTCTTTCTGCATGGAGTTTACATGTTCTCCTTGTGCATGAGTGGGTTCTCTCCGGGTACTCTGGCTTCCTCCCACAGTCCAAAAACATAGGTTGATTGGTCTGTCTAAATTGTCCTTAGGTGTGAGTGTGTGTGTGTGTGCATGATTGTTTGTCCTGTGTGTCTCTGCGTTGCCCAGTGATGGACTGGCTCTCTGTCTGGGGTGTACCCCGCCTGATTGCCCATTGACTGCTGGAGATAGGCACCATGGATGGATGGATGGAATTATGAGCAAACTGCTGCCATCTTTGAACAACTCAAAATTTTACAATGACTCATGTGGATGTCATATATCTAACCCCTTCTTTCCACCGCAGCCGTCAGCAGCACGTTACTGCAGCAGCACGTCTTGCTCGCGTAAGCTGCTGCTTGGCCCTTCCCACGAGACGCAAAGCAGCAGGGGAGCAGCTGTCACCGACAGAGCACGAAGTCACACGAGTGACTTTGTCAGTAACAACAAGCAGGAGAAAACTACAACATGGCCCCAAAAGTTTTGTGTTTTATGTTCTGTCCGTTTTATAATCGCCAATACGGGCCTGAAAAACAAAGGAGACTGCTAGCTAGGTGATGACTTCTCACGGGGCCGCACAGTTCTTTCTTTATTCTGAAAATCTCGAGAACTTCGCTCCGTTTCCGCGTCCGATTTCCTGTCTTTCCTTCCCCCAAAATGTCAAACTTGACCTGTTTCAGAGGCGTCGCACGTAGAAAATAGAACCGGCGCGTAAGGGCCGCGACATGCTGCTCCTGAGACGCGGCCGACTCACACTGCTGACGGCTCCAGTGGAAAGAAAGGGTTGATCTTCTCTCAGTTATTAATTCCATGTTACAGTTAAATTGACAGAAATGTGTCATTCCTGCTGGATGTGCCTTAACCCTCTCAGGCTCAAAATAAGTTTTGATAAAAGGATGAACAACTAAGTCCTTCAGGGGTACTTCTGAGTTAAAAAATGCTAATCTGCAACGCCTGCCTCCAGAGGGTTAAGCTGTACTGGAGACGACTACTGATGATTGTGCTGCAAATAAATAAAGAGCGTAATCCAAAACTGATGTGATAATAAATGGTTTATCAAAATGTGTTTTTGTGAGCCAACATTACATCTTTAAGATGTAAGTTTATATAGAACTAGAAACCACACTTTTTGTTTCATTTTTACTTTCAGTAATGCCAACGTGAAAGATCAATTTACAACTGGGGGTTTCTGATTGCTGTAAGAAAAAATATCTATGCCACACAAACAAAAGGAAGGGTTGAACTTAAAAAGCATTTTAA